CATAAAATAAATAATGATTATTTATTGAAGTTATCAAATTTTCTTTCTAATTAAAAAGTAAAAACATTACAATAAGGATAGATAATAAATTAGTTAAGATTTAGGAATATATAAATACCAAAAAATATAAAAGAATGGTCGAGTGATCACTCACCTGGTGCCATTACACAACCCAGAAGATTGATCCATGTTTCGAAGCAGCATTACATGAATACCAACTTTCAATTTTAAGATTTGATTAGGAACTCCAGAGCATTTTATTGCATTAAAAAAATCAGTTGTGTACACTGAATGCCGTTTTGTCGCCTTGCATCTATAAAGGACTTTCTGAATTTTCTTGCTTGACTGGATGGAGTGTCTAACATCGAATATATAAAAAAAAAATCAAAGAAATATATACTGTTTGCATTTTACATAAATAAAATATTATCCTTTAATCTAATAATTAATTTATTATTATGTAAGTTGCATATATTATATATAATACAAAATTTAAAAGTAAGTCCCATAAAATATACTCACCCGAAACAATAGTTTCAATGCCTGCAGAAGATAGTCCACGCTTTTATTTCATTTTCGCCATTCTAATGTGTCTAATAAGTGTTGCATTTTCTTTATCCATTATTTGAATACCTACAAGATGCAAGAACAAGGTGGATTTAAAGTCAATAAATATAATAATTTATTATAAATATTTAAACAACTTGTTATCGACAAGATTGTATATGATCTCACTTTTAAAGAGAGGTCGTATGGTTTAACCCCCAAAACCACTATTTTCAATACATATTTAACATAACAGCTCGAGCCCTTTATTAATAATAATAAAAAAAGATGTTTGTAATGAATTATCTTTTGTTTATAAATATATTAATTGATAAATAATTTTATTTTTTTAATTAATATTAAAAAAACTTATTATTGTTATAAAGATAAGTATAATTTATTTCTAAGTAAGCTTCCGAAGCGTGCGAGCCAGCCATTTAGGCTCAACACGTTTTGAAATATATTAATGGGGGATGAATATCTCCTACCCGTGCATTTTATAAGCTGCAGTTATTATATATAATACAAAATTTAAAAGTAAGTCCCATAAAATATACTCACCGAAACAATAGTTTCAATGCCTGCAGGAGATAGTCCACGCTTTTCTTTCATTTTCGCCATTCTAATGTGTTTAATAAGTTTTGCATTTTCTTTATCCATTATTTGAATACCTACAAGATGCAAGAACAATGTGGATTTAAAGTCAATAAATATATTAATTTATTATAAATATTTAAACAGCTTGTTATCGACAAGATTGTATATGATCCCACTTTTAAAGAGATGTCTTACTGTTTAATCCATGAAACCACTCTTTTCAATACATATTTAACATAACAGCTCGAGCCTTTTATTAATAATAAAAAAAAGATGTTTCTAATGAATTACCTTTTGTTTATAAATATATTAATTAATAAATAACTTTATATTTCTAATTAATATTAACAAAATTATTATTGTTATAAAGATAAATATAATTTATTTCTATGTAAGCTTTCGAAGCGTGCGAGCCAGTCATTTAGGCTCAACACAATTTGAAATTATATTAAGGGGGGATGAATATCTCTTACCCGTGCACTTTATAAGCTGCAATTATTATATTTATGAAATTTATAATAATCAGATAAATGGCACGCACGCATAAGTTTAGTGTGAAGGTATAAAATTAATATAAATCAATAATTTGTATGAATACAAAATCAAAATAAATATTTAAAAATATAAATTCGTGCACATTAAAAATATACACTATTCATGAAAAATTGCATCGACCTAGCAATATTCGTGCAAATAAATATTCATGAATAGTTGTTACAGTTCAATAAAAAGTCTTACTTTTCTATATATAAATTATTTTAAAATATTTGTATAAATATTTTGAAAACATGGTAAAAATATTTTCATGGATGTTAAAATTGAATTTATTAACATGTTTGAAATTTTCACCATCCTTTTTATAACATTCTAATTTTATAGATAACTTTTTTTGATAATATTTTTGTGAATAATGTTGAAATATTTTATAATTGTCTTAATAATCATTGAATTTGTATAAATCAGGATTTTTTATACATTATAAATCAAATTTTTTTATACATAATAAACCAAGTTGTTGTAGTTATATTTTATATGTAGGGTAAATTTATTAAAAAAATAATATAACATTGACATTCTAGACAATCAAGATTATGAATATAGTTATTGTAGTATTTATTAAAAAAATAAAATAATATTAATCAATATGGATAGTAAAAATATATTATAATCCAAAATATATTATAATATTGGTATAGGATTCTTAAAATATATTATAATATTGGCATATGATTCTTAACCAGTATAATTTTTGTGGTTCAATATGGATAGTAATCCTATTTCCACGGTGATATAGGATATTATATACTGGACCAGTCTTAATGGATAAAAAGGAGATATATTGAAGAATAAGCCTACACATGGCTAGGACACGTGACATGATGCTATTGGACAAGCCCAATTTGGGCCATAAGGTACATTCCACTATAAAAGGGGGCTAAGGTATCCCATTCTCTCATTCTCTCTCTACATTCATGACCATACTCTTGGGATTTGGAGGGATATTGACTTGAGCGCCGGAGGCCCGACGCCGGGACCCCTCCCGGCGTTGGGTTCTTGCAGGTACGGAGGCCGTCCGAGTCGAAGGAACCCGAGTGAAATCTTATTCACTTCACACGGCATATAAGAATCCTATTTATTTTGGAGTTGGAGGTGATCGGATTAAGCAAAAATAATTTTTATCCGAACCAAAAGCTGAAGCATGTAATGTTGTCAAGTAAGCTTCCGAAGCGTGGGAGTCGGCCATTTAGGCTCAACACGTTTTGAAATTATATTAAGGGGGTGTAATATAATGTCATTATTATTATTTATACAAGTTATAGATGTAGTCTTCTTCTTCTTTTTGTTTTATGTAATTAAAATATTTAATGCATGTTCATATTATTTATTAATGTAATTAATTTAAATTATGTAAATAAATTTAAAGTAAAACATTTTGTACAAATATTTTACAAAATATACACAAATGTTTTTTTAGAATTTATTTTTATATAATAAATAAACATCCTTGAAATTCTATGCAATTATTAAACATCCTTGATATAAATTCGAAATCATAATTGAATTCTATGCAATTATTAATTCCATCCGATGTTATGGGAAACAAATTATTCGGAAATGTAACAAAATGATAAGGAATTTTAAAATTTAAATTTTAAATGAGACATGTTTTTACTTGAATTCTATGCAATTATTATTTTGTCCGATTTTATGGCAAACAATTTATTTAGGATTTTAATGTAACAAAATGATAAGAAATTTTAATATTTAAATTTAAATTTGAAATGAGACATGCTTTTACTTGAAGTCTATCTGTCTGATTTTATTGCAAAAAACATCAATTAAAGATGAATTAATGCAAACGGGTTTTTTTAGCAATAAAATAATAATACAATTGAAAAAATTGATGGAAATAGAATGCATTAATTGTCGTTTGACTTTCCTTGCTACTAATTTTAGTAAATAGAATGGCCTTTATATCTATATATATATCACCTAATCTGTCATCTTTCAGATTTGTATATACATACTAGATTTATAATTTTATACAAAAAATTTGTGGTATCAAATAAATCTAGAAAATTTACTAGGACTGAAAAACCAAACACATCATGTTATATCAAAATATCAAAGCAACATCATATCTTATATCTCCGTAAATATTTTCTACAATTGAATATATTGCAGTTCACAAAAACTTTTCTGCATTGCACATGCTTACTTGAAAATATAAAAAAAAATTGCATATGTATATTTTTTACTTCAATTTTTTATGAGAACACAAAACACAGATGCCAATATCACATCCAAAAGTTGTAATAAAATAATATTCAATCATCCACAACAAATCTTCAAATATTAATACAGTGCAGTTCACGTGATTTTTCATCACCGAACACATTGGAGTTAACAGTTCAGAACAAATAACTTACGTATCATATGAAGTTCAAAATTTTATTAGGTCATTTATACTCATAGTCCCATCACTAAATGAGTTATTATCCATTTATAACAAATTTTTGAAATTAACTCACAAATACTTGACAACACAACAACAATAATCAAACTCATACAAAAATCATCTATCCATATTTATGTAGATATTGGAATATAATTAAAATTGATAGAACTAATAGATCATTATTGATATTGAATAGATCTTGAAAGTTACCTTGACAGAAAAGACATAATTCTATTCTAGGGCATATATCAATTCTCGATTGCTACCATAATTGCCCGTTCATCTTGATGCCGTCGTCGTTCGCTTAGATGACAAAGTACTCGTGTTGATAACACATTACAATATATATTGTCTCATACATAGAGAAAGCGAGAGAACAAGAACATGAGAGAAAGAAAAACTTGAACGATACACAAAAGAGAGAAACCGTCAAATATCAATTATCTTTATTAATTCACTTTACCCTATATATAGAGGAATACATTATATATCAGTAACGATTAATGGACTTCTAGCCCATACCTACTAAACCTATATCTAGGTAATGTCTACAAATAATAATTATTTACAACATAAAAAAGTGAAAGTTCCTTGAAATTAAAAAAAAATAAAAATTAGAGGAACATTTTTTTCAATTTTTTTGACAAATTTATAACCTACCCAACTAAATTTGTAATTTTCACTTAAATCAATGTAACAAGACAGAACTTGGTAATTGCTATAGGATTAAACTCTTATTAAACGACAACTTTGCGTATCTGTAATCTTTTTGCCATCGTGATTGAGTTGGAGGACAATTTGCGCCTAAATCGGTAGCTGCCGTCAATTTTCGCAAGATACGTAGTGTTGCCGCCGGTAAAGCTTGTGATTCATTTGCAAATCGAGTTTGGATTGGAAAATGGAGGATATACTCGTGGCAGTGATAATGATGATTTTGGTATTCTCTTTGGTTCCACTCTATTTATGGAGACGTCTGGTTGATTCCCGCCATCATCACCAACACCACGAAGAGCCGCAGGTACATAAACATCGGCTTTTGCGGTTTATTTGAACTAATTACGATATGCGATCTTCAATGTGGCCAGAAATTTGAGTTTCTTTTTCTAAGTTCATGTTGTGAATGCCATTTACCGGAATGAATCAATTTTTTCTTGTCTCTTTTCTATTTTTCTCATCTTAGGTTTTGTAAGTTATGCAAAGGGATTATTGTAGCCTATGATCTTCTATAATTAAGAAACTGTTACTTTTGTTGGGTAATTGTCTTCAAAAAATTGACATTCTTCTAACAGTTTTTTCTTTAATGTTTGGGGAGGATTTTGTAGGAGATACAAAGGGAAAGAGTTGTTAGGGCTGGCAATGCGCGCCGTATGCGTCGAAGACCTGCAGCTTCTTCAGCCGCCAGCTCATCATCAGCTGCCCCTGATGTGGAAGGTTTTTATTTCTCAGTCGATTTTTCTTTTGTTCTACCCTGACTGAAATTCATTTTATCTGCAATTTCGATAATTTGATTGCATAGTTTAGCTTCAGTATACCATATCCTGCAGTACTGATCCGTTATCGAACTTAAGTAAGAATCCAGACATGGCAAGATAATTTTACTAGTTTAATGTGAGTTTTAAGGAAAATAGAGAGAAAGAAATAAATATAGGATGAAAGTGAGTTGTAATTATCGTGAACTCAGAGACTCATGATGGAAGTGAGGATGAAGAAGATGGGAACTACACTGCTAAAGCATCAAAGAAGAAGGAAAAGAAAAGACAAGAGCGTGAAGCACAACGTCAGGTGAATGTTTCCTGTTGTTGGTTGTTCCTTTCTGTCTTTGAGTGTGTGTGTTGTGTGTGGTGTGCTAATCTTAAATTTTGTCTTTAATCTTTAGTTACTTCAGAGCACCCACAATGCTTTGAGTTTCTTTAAAAAAAATCACATGCCATGTAGGAAATAGACCTAGTCTATAAAAAAGTGTTCACAATGCAATTAAAAGTGGACCTAGTCTAGCTTATGTGGCAATAAAAAAAGAGACCAAGTCCATTCTTGGGTCTATTTTGGACCCAAGCATTCTTATTTTTTAGTTTTCAATTCAAAAAAAAAAGAAGTAGGAAAAATCAAAATACGATAAAAATCGGAATGAACACCTTAAGTTTAAGTACAGAAAAAAGGATTGATCAAATTCTATTGAGTCTGACTCAGCATAGTGATCATTTATCAAAAAAACGACTCTGGTTATCAACTGATTGAACAATCGGGAGCAATTTACTTACGATACTTAGTTGACAGTGAACCTTACAATATCAATCATTTACAATTGTTAAATTTTTATTGGTTGTTAGGTATTCTAGACCTAGTACTTTTTTTTTTTTTTTTGCATTGGATAGATTTTGGATTTTTTAGTTTGGGTTTGTCCATGTCATTATAGACTTAAGTCTATTTATTTGCCACATATGTAAAAAGAGACCCAAAGCATTGTGGGTGCTCAAAAGGTTCACACTTGGGTCCAAAATAGACCCAAGAGTGGACTTGATCTCTTTTTTTTATTGCCACATAAGCTAGACTAGTTCTACTTTTAATTGCATTGTGAAACATTTTTTTATAGACTAAGTTTATTTCCTACATGGCATGTGATTTTTTTTAAAGAAGACCCAAAGCATTGTGGGTGCTTTTATAGATATGCATATACTAGTTGCGGCAATAGCTATTTAGAGCATCTTCAACCCTTATCTCTATTCTAATGTAGAATTTACTCTGCCTTAGAATAGAGTTAACCAATAGTCAAAGTTCATCTACAATTGTTCGCGCTACATTTTACTTTATTAACATTTATATATTATTTTTAATATTTTTAAATTAATTTTCATACCAAAAATATAATTTGATGAAATACATTAACTTACACATATTTATTATCAATATATGATTGTAAAAATATAATAAAAAATATAATCAAGATTATTAATACATATTATTAAGAAAATAAATATATATATTATATTAATATTTAATTCATTATAGTAAATTTTTATTTATATGGTACTATCAAAATTTACAAAATAAAATGAAAATATCACCAAATTATTTACCATGATAAATAAATCTATTAATACATAATACAAAAAAATATCAATAATATACAAACTAATAAAAAAATATAAAAGGTTTAGCGTTGATCTACATTGCATTGACACGTGGCGATACACTGTTCACATATCTAAAATAGCGCCAGAATCAAGCGATGAGTTGGAGGAGAAAAAACAACACAACTCTAGCCAAAATATAGAAGTAGCGCAGGGTTGGAGGTGGTCTTACACGGTGTATCAATTTGGGATTATTAAAAATTTAACTTTTAAAGATGCATTTAATTTAGAATTTCTATTAATACTTTTAAAAGGGCATTTTCTCAATAAATTCTCGAACCTCTTTTCACTTTTAAAATCAGTCTTTTAAGTTTTTATTGTTTCATTGCACTTTTTAATTTTACAATTTTTTTCTACTTAACTTTCTAACCTTAAAAAAATCAATAAATAAATAAATTAAAAAAGTCAAACTATCCCATTATACTTAACTTTCTCTATTTTTTTAATTATTTTCTATTCTCTCTTTTCACGCAATTTTTTATTATTTTCTTTTATGTCATCTTCCACCGTTTCTCTCTCCCGTCAATCTTTCCCCTTCTCATTCTTTCTCTTTTTTTTACAGGTCATCCGGCGACAAGAATAATTCCGGCAAACGTTTAGCTGAAAAAATTTTAGCGACAGACGATCCAGAAGAACTTCGATGAAAGATGGGACGAACTTCGGCAAAAGACGGGTGGCCCTCTCCGGCGAATTTTTATTTTTTTCCCGGCGAGCTCCTAACTCGCCGTTTTTCGGCAAAAAATGTAGACGGTCTATGAGTATTTAATGAAAAGTCTGAACTCGTATTTTACTCATTTTTTTTCCATAAAATCTCGTTTTTCATATTTTGTTAAGAAATCCATTTTGAAATTAATGTTCTTCATATTTGTTGTAGCAAACTATGTTTTTTACTGAGTACCGAATCAATGGATTCATTCCTCGGGTCGATCTCTCAAGGAAGGTTGGCCGGGTTACTTTGCTCGTGTATTCAATCACAAAAAGGAAAACAAATCCTAAACATTCTAATTCAAGATTGGTTTGATTTTTAAACTATTAGCTAAGAGAACTAAAACAAAGCAAAATCAAATTTCAAAGCAAAGACGATGATCAAGCAATGATAAGAAGCTAAGGTGTCGGGGAATATTTGTTTTGGTTCGAATTGCAGTTAACGGGCAAGTGATTGTTCGGTTAAATGATTTGAATAACCTACTCGTTCAGAGATTCATCCTCAATAACTTTTCGTAACAAGAGAACAAACGTGAACGGCAAAATTAACGATTCGTTTAACACCTAGGTAATATAGTTACGAACAAGCCTAGTTTATACGAGCCTAGACCGATCGTCTCCTCCCCTTTCGGTTCTAAGAGCCGATTAAATTATCCTAGAAGATAGTTAATCTACTAGTCCATTTAGAATTAACAACATCACGCGAGAACGAATCAAATTCAATTGAAAATCAATTGGAGATTGAAGTGTCACCCTTCAACAATTCTTAACATTCAAACATAATCATCGAAAATCCTATTTAAGAATAACTCGTATAAATTGAACAATCAACGAACACAATAATCACAAACGAAATCCAAACATCATCCCATATCCCTAGCAATTGGGTTTAGCCACTCATATTTAATTCAACACAAACAAACTCAACAATCGAAGAAATCATATCCATGGACTAAATGAAAAGGAAAACTTATGATTGATAAAGAAATCCAATGTTGAATCCGAGATACAAGATTAATCCAAAAACAATGAAGAAATCAAGGTGAAAACCAAGATCAATGTTTGTGTTCTGAGGTGAAAATATGAATACAAACGAGTTTGGGGTTTTATTTTAGGTCTGGGAACGAGTCCCAGTGCCAAGTACTTGAAAAATTGAGCAAAATCGAGATTTATAAAAATCTGGTCGCCCAGGGGTTAGCGCCGCTAAGGTCGTCTGGGCAGTGGCCTCTAGGGTCGTAAAGGGGTCGCTAGGCTAGCCTTAGTGCCGCTAAGGAGGGTTGTGCGGCTTTGCGTTTTGGCTTCGTTTGAACTCGTCCGAACTCGGAATTGAGTGTCGTTTTTCCTACGCGTCGCCAACGAACCCTTCTAGCCAATTATGCTTTTCAATCAAATATTTTCCTGAAATTCTATTCTCCCAAAGCTTATGACATGCACATCAAAAACGTGCTTTGCGCGACTTTGCATTTTGGGCTCGTTTGAGCTCGTCCGAACTCGGAATTGAGTTCCGCTTTTTCCTACTTGTCGCCAGCTAATTATGCTTGCATGGAAAACTTATTTTTGAAATATTATCCGCTCGAAGCTTTTAGACCTGCACACCAGAAACGAAAACTAAAACGGAAAAAACTGGAAAACGAAAGAAAAACACGAAAAAACTCAAAATCAAGGAAAACACGCAATAAACTACAAAACAACTAAAAATCAAATAAACGACCTAAAACGGTGGAAAACTAAAGGCAAAATAATAACGAAATATGCAACAAAAATGGGACAAACAATATTCACCCTAAAATAAAGAAGGTAGCAACCATTTGTATT